TTGAAAACAAATTTGCAAATGAATAAAATGATTAATGGATCCTATAGTACATGCAAAACACCCTAAAGACTTCTAGAAGTTTAACTGATGAAGTTTCTAAAGATCTGATCATACAATATAGGGTGTTTGGAGGTTATGTCTCAGCTTGAACATATGCAAGAACTTGTGTGTATGGAACTTAAACTTCAAAAAACTTGAATCCCACCTTTCGTAAAAATTTAACAATAAAAGTGACTGGTTTACGCCACCCGCTCTCAAAACAGAGACATGTCGGTCTCGTCACCAGTACAACTCCACAAGTCGATACCAAGGATCCTGTATAACACAGGATGTTTGTGGCGTCATAGAAGATAGTCATATAATCATGTGGAAACACCATACTGTCCCAAGTAAATCCCCACAATCCACACAGATGATTTGTATATGATTCTTCATGTAATGCCTAAGTGAAATCATTACAGCTCTGCCTGTTTAATTCTAGCGCTCTGCTACGTATCTGATCCATCTAAAGCAATTGAAGTAAATCTTTTCAAGTTAATATTCATATTTTTAATGCTATTTGTAGATATTCTCGATTTTTTTGTGGCGACATCATATGCCTCTTTAACATATGCTGTCCACTGGCTTGAACTTGATGCCCGGTGCAGAATTGGGGCATCTTGAACTGAGAGCTGACATAACAATTTTCAAGTGCTGGTTTATTGTCGACCGTAATTATCCTTGTCCGTATGAGGTGGTGCCTGATTTCTGCATGCTACAGAAAGCATACGCATCAGTCCGTGTTTCTTAAGTCCGCATCGTAAGCAATTATTGAATTGGATCAACATATTCCGAAACTTTTATTGGGGTTGTCAAAATCCAAAATAGCGTAGAGTCATTTACAAAATTTCAGCGATTCTCTTTCAAAATCATCGAAACTGCTTGCGGTATGATATCCTTTACCGATAGCATATTATTGATCATTCCATCAATCTTGCCTTGAACCCAAAATCGTGATTCCCGTAGGATGCGAGCTCTTAGATTGAGGTCAGAATATACAAGGGGATGTCGTGGACTGAAATCTATGCCCTTCGAATTCACCTCATTTCCTACTTCGACTTCATCCTCCCCGTTCTCAAGCTGTTTTTCAATATCTTCAATAACCGCTTGCTGATACACTTTAAAATCTGGTTCATCTTGTTAGCTATGCTGCTAATGTCAATGCTTGCACTAACTCATAAGTTAGGGCGACTGGCTCAACTGGTTTGGCATATGATGCTCAACTGAAAGTTGTGAGTTCAATTCCCACTAAGGATGGTTAGAGCTTGCTCAACCTTTATGGTTAAGACTGCATATGTCTGTGTATCAAACTGTGTACTTATTTAAGGTTTGCGCAAAGACTGGTTTAGAGTGTTCCACATACCTTAGGATGGGTTGGTAGCTTTAAACTTAGGTTTTGTATATTGTGTGGGTCGCAAGGCAGTTGCGCGTGGGCCCACACAATTGTGTGCTAGCGCGCCTTGCATTAATACACTCACTTCTGCATTTGCACACACAGACGCACATCACTTCTACCTTTGCCCTTCCTATATCCTTTAGGTTATGAGCCCAAACAGTGAAGTCTACGCTAAGCCTGTCCGTTTTGACGACACCAGCTATCGTCTATGAGCATACAAGATGCAGATGAACCTCTTGTCACGAGGACTATGGAATTTCATCGATGGCAGCGTGCATGTCGTCGACGACGTTAAGCAGCAGCAAGCGCATGCGGCGAT